TTTTTTTTTTTTTTTTGAGACAGAGTCTTACTATGTCACCCCTGGTAGAGTGCCAGAGTGCTACAGTGGCATAGCTCACAGCAACCTCAAACTCTTGGGCTTAAGTGATTCTATTGCCTCAGCCTCCCAGGTAGCTAGGACTACAGGAACCCACTACAACAGCCAGCTATTTTTATTTGGTTGCAGTTGTCATTGTTATTTAAGCTGGCCAGGGCTGGGTTTGAACCCACCAGCCTCAGTGTATACGGATGGTGCCATAACCATTGTGCTATGGGTGCCCAGCCAAAAACATAATCTTTAATGGATACTAATATTTGCATGACATGGAACTATATTTATTTAATCACAACCCTATTATTGGACATTTATGTTGTTTCAAGGTTATTGTTTCTTTTTTTTTTTTTTCATTTTGTTTTTAATTTAAAGAAGTATTCTGAGATAGCAATTTAATCCCTACAATTTTCAACAATGTTCACAAACCTGGGAACTAGATGTCAGGCTCACACCACTGTCTGCGCTGATCTGGGATTTCTTCTCCTCTGTTTCACCAAGGTCAAATACAGGTTTGATTACTTCAGGCCCTGAGTAGGGGAAGACTTCTGTTACTCAGTACACAAAGGCAATGGGCAGGTGGTGAAGGGAGTGGGACAGCAGTATAGCCTGAACCCAGACTTGTTCAACCTGTCCCAGTCACCTTTCCAGGGATTACCTGCCACTCAGGACCCACTGCTAGAAGAAGCCTTAAGAACCAAGTAGGACAAATTGGACCTGGTCTCAAGGGTTCTGCAGCCATCTTCTCAAACTGAGAAAATTCTGAGCAAATCATCTTAAAGTAGAAAAGCTCTGCAAACAACTGTCTAAATCACATTTTACAGCACTCAGAATCAAAGCTTCACTGGTGCCCAAGACCATTTAAGCAACCCCAGGACACGCAGTACTTCCCAAACAAATGTGTCTAAAAGAGCTAGAAAAGGTTAGGTCCCAGGAGGTAAAAGAAACATCAGCTGTTTCAGTGGGTACTGCTACCCCACCATACAAATTGGATTTTTAAGATAAAAACCACCCCCATTTTCCCCCGCCCACCCAAAATGGTATGGCAGAAGGACAGAATGACAGAAAGCAAGAAAGCGTGCCTAGGCAAGCCACCAGAGAGAGTTGGGCAGCTACAGACTCAACACGGAGGGACAGCAACCATCTCTGCCAACTTCACCCATAGGCCTTCTAACAGGTGAGGGAGATAACAGCCAATGAGGGAAACTAAAATAGGCAAACTTCTCCCCACCAGCTCTGAAGCAATACAGAAACAAGTTCTAAGGGGTTTCATTCAGTAGACACCTTGATTACAGCCTGATTGCTATGAGGGGAGGAGGAAAGAAGCAGCCTACAAACCACACCTACGAGTCACATACCACCTACCTGCTTTCATTCCAAATACCCTCCAAGAACAAATTTGGGATGGGGCTGACAAAGGGAGCCTGCCCCAAGTGGGCCTGGGGAGTTGGCAGGTATGGGAGACTTGGGAACAGGAAGGGGCATTTGTTCCTTACTCTGTTTTTCCAAAGCTTTTTGCTTTTTCACTTCCTGGTGCTTGTTCCACAATTCTACCCCAGATGCAATGCAAGCAGGAGAGAAAGAGAGAGTCAGAGGCTGGTCAGACAGACAAAATGGAAACCCACCCACCCAAGTTGACTTGGTTTCAGGCACACGATTACCAGTCAAGAGATATCTTCATAGGGAAGGGGTGGGGAACCAAGAGATCCAGTGCCTTCCCCGGACTCATGAACTACAGAATTCAAATTTCTAATTCTAATCCCAATGTGGCAGTAAAAACCCTGCACAATGTCAGGGCTAGAAGGACCCTTAACGAAGCTCTTTCATTTTTCCATGAGGAAACTGATCCTAAATAAAGAGGGTCTTCAGCCTTTGCTCAAGATCATGTGACTTAGGGTAAGTTTAAACTTCTACCACATCATGCCTCTGCCAAATGAGCTGGAGAATGGCAATTTTTACAGATTTCAGATGAGACAGTCATCACTTCAAGCAGTCACATGGTTTCAGAAGCAGGAGCACCAACCAGTTTGATTCAGTAGATTGGCCACTCATGCAGTCAGCCAGCATCCTTCCTTACTGCTATCGAAGAAACCAGTGTACCCTCAGAAGCAGCTTCTACACTACCAAGAGACCTGTACTTAGCCAGTCATCTGGTAAAAAGCATCTAATAAACATGATAGAACATAAAATGGTCAAGACTAGCATCTTAGCAGGAGAAAGCAGAAAGAATACCAGTCATAACCATTATTTTCCTGGAAGGAGCTTCAGAGTTTTCTGAGTATGATCTCATTTCCCAGCTGAGGAGATAGACTCTGAGACTCCAGACCTCCAGATTGGCAGGTCAGTACTTTTTCTAGAATATTATATCAGACAGGGGAAAGCCAGGGTTGACTGCCTCTAGAACTGTATTATGCTGGCTAGGGAAGTATAGCACCCCTAAAAAGGAAACTGGTTCTTTGGTTCCACTGATAGGAACACAGGGCAACTGCTAATGGTCATGGCAAAAGGCATCAGCTGGAAACACAGTGCCCAGGGACCTAGAACCATAAAAAGAAAGATATAACCTAGATAACTCAAGGCCCATAGTAGGAAGTAACCCAAACAGATGACACCAGAGAGTGCAAATAGAGAAACCAAACACAAGCAAGACTAATCAAGTCTAGTAAGGAGGAGTTCAAAGAAGAGCTGACTCAGAAACCTATGCTTCTAAGGTACAGAACCCAGCAAATGAGGTTCCCAGACATGCCCTAGAGCAAATTCCAGGGCAGTGTACCGCCTAGATGGGTTAAAACTGACTTCAGAGACCCAGATGATCATAATTTTACAGCCAGATGATCATAATTGTACAGCCTCTGTAAACTTCCTGACAGCTTCAAGGAACTCACATGGCCTCTTGATTACATGAAGAAATGTAGAAGTTAATAAAAAGAGGGACCAGGAGTATAGCTCAGACTCCCTGCACTAAGCTTCATGGGGCCCTCTAAACAAAACTACTATTCCTCAAAGATGTAGGAGCGGGTGGCTGGAGATGAAGCTTAAGAAATAGAGTAGTACAAAGAAATGCCGTTAGAAGTGGACACAGACCTATCTCCTTCTCTAGAAAGCAAAGCATGGGGAAGAGAAAGGCGGAATTCTGGATGAATTGAAAGTAGAGAGGGATATTTAAGAAGTCAGAACCCCTCTACCACAAAATACAGTGATACATACCAATAGATGCTACAAAGTTCTCTTCCTTTAAACTTCTGGTGTCCGGTTCCTTAGGACCCTTTCCTGTGGCACTTGATGCCCGAGGTCCCAGTTGGGGAACTCTCAGCTGTGCCATAGCCTTTGGGTCCCCCCGCCCAGCCAGGCCAGGATCCTTGCTAACTGGGGTATTTATACTTTCTGTTGGACTTCTCTTTCGCTTGTCTGGTTCTGAGAAAAAAAAAATTCAATACAGAAAGAGATTAAAAGAGGTAGTGAGTAGGAATCAAGGCACAGAGATAAAGGGGGAAAAGCCAGGATACAGGAGGATATGGAATGGATGTGCAGGAAAAGAGCTGACATTTTTCATGACAGGAAAATATCCACTACATATAAACATGCACTAGAAAATAAAATCCCAAAGCCTGAGGGGAAACAGCTTTAGCACTGACAAGAGGGGAAACTCATCATAGAGACAAGTACATTTTCTCTCTTTTAGAGGTAAGTAGGAGAAGGTGTGATGCCCAGCTCACACAATCCCTACCTTTGCTATAGTAGTGGGTGTGGGCGATCTCCAGAAGCCCAAAGATGCTAGCCATGCCGCCCAGACCTGCATGGGAATAGGACTGCTCCAGACTGAGGACTGTGCACTTGAGGAGATCTAACATTCCCTTGTATACCTTACGACTGATCTCCTGCAACAACAACCCAGGGGCTAGAGTTGGCAAAATTACCTTTGGTGTCCACATCCCTTTCCCCAGTTTATTCCGACTCTCTACCCCAAACACTGACCACATCCGGGATCATGTCCTGTCGGGCATCATCCTCTGACTGCACCGTGCGGTTCAGCTTGCTCAGGACAAAGACTCGCAGTTGCTCACTTTCCAGCAGCCGGCGCACTTTCTTCATGTTGAGCCAGCCAACCCCCTGGCCATCCAGCACGCTGTGCACCACCTCCTTCAGAAACTGCTGGTTCTCACTACAGGGTCCACAGAATACTCTGGTCATCAGCTCCTTTGCAGAGTATCCCTCCCAACTCACCAGACTAAATTTTTGCCTTTAGGGGCAAAACATAAAGCCAAGTCTCTGAACATGCTCCAAATCCAGCACATCCCTCAGTACTCTAGATAATCTGGTTTACTCAAATACCCACCACTGCTATTTCACCCTCCTCAACACTGTAAACTCTAACTACTGCCTGTGGATTGAGTCAGAATAGGAAGTGCTGGTAAGAAACTGATTTCATTTACCCTACTGAGAGCTTCTCTCCTACTCTTGAGTATTCCTGAAGTTTTTTTTACAGGACTTACTACTTGAGAACTTTTAAATCAGCTCTTCCATTTATTACCTAGAATTGCTGGATCGACCCTGGGGTGATGGAGGTTCTCTTTTCACTGTCGGGCTGTGTTTAATGACAGATGACTTCTGATCCACTAAAGCCCTCCTGTTTCCTATATTAGGGAAGGTAAGAATGAGAGACATCACAATTACAGATCAGGAGCTAGCATTAGCACAGCCCTGAGTAGCCATGTTCCACATCCATTACCCTGAAGGGCTGGGTGAGGGTGGCCCCAGGGCATCACACATAGGTAGAAACCAGCCATGGCAATGTGAGCAGGTGGGGATGGAAACTCAGGCCACTCCACATGCACCAGCAGCCCGCACCATGGGCAAGCATGGGCGTCATGGGGGATGGGGGTGGAGCAAAGGAGGTCATTCATGTGACACTGCTTGCTCCACAAGGAAGATGGCCCTCAGGCAGGCATGGAAGATGCTAGAAAAAAAAAAAAGATCATGCATAGCTCACGGGCAAGACCCACCTTCACCACTCCCAGGGCCGGCTTCAGTAACAATCTCCATTAGAGTATTTAGCCCAAATACTGGGACACAAAATACACAATTAGTAGGTGCACCACAATACCATATCCCCTATACCCCTCAGTGGAGCAGTAAGTTAGATAATCTGAACATTCTCCCAAAGCTTGTATGGTGCACATAACCTTGGTTCTTGGGCACCTCAGAGCTGGAAGCCAAGTGACCAGGAGACAATCAAGGCTGTAAGAAAGACCATCTTTAAAAGATGGTGGCCTCTCAAAGCCAGGGGCAGAATAAATGACATAGTGAGCCTTCAGGTACTAAACAGACACATGCATGAAAGAGGGACCACTGGTTTTCATGAAATATCTGGCACAGGCATCCAGAAGGCCTGTAGGTATGCACAGGAAAGCATCTTGCAGATGCTGTTGTGAGGGGTGGACTTGGAGTATGAGGATGGGGGGTAGGTGGGAGGATAAGTGCAGCAAATGAGATGAAGCACAGCATGCAATGAAAGTCTTCAAATACAGCAAATCAAAGCCAGTGACACCAACACCTTGCCATCCCTATCTACCCAACCTTATGTGAGCTCGCTGTAGCAGCACTAGTCTGTAACAAATATAAGTAGATCCATTATCTCTAGTCAGTTCCCTATACTGCCAGCTCTGCATCTTGCCTATCTATCTCATGGTCCCATCCCCACCAAAGAACATTCCTTAAGACTCCTGACATTTTTAATCATTAGGAGTGAGAGGTCAGTTAAAGAATACAGAGTTGCTTCTCACTATACATCCTACATAATTAAATGCAAGTTAAATTCAGAAGATTCTCTTCATCTCTCAGAGATCACAAATAAAATTCAAATAAGGTCTTAACTGCCCCTAGAAGCAAACCAAAACTATCTGGCATACTCATAAGCCCTAAGTTGACATGAAGCTGCAGTAAGGTAAGAGGCTGGACTCTGCTAACACCACCAGACTCTCCACAACCATCCTCTAGTGGGCCAGCTCCCTGGGACTGAGTTCATCCTAAATTCATGTAGCAGGAACCCAGCAGATGACTAGGGGCAGGTGATGATGTCTATTTAATCACGTCCCTCTGACAAGATCTCCACCCCCAGAAGCACTAATCCCACAATTGTTATTATACTAAATGATACAACAGGGCCTTCTCTAGCTACAAAGACAGTTTCCATCTGACAACCATCAAGAGCCCATGATGTGCAGTGAAAGCCATGAGAAGCGATATGAGGGCAACAGCCAGATCAAATGACTCATCATACACAGGGATCCTAATAAGCACCCCTATCCCTGAAACATCTCAGAAGAACCTGCTTTGGCAAAAGGAGGGTTGGAGTTACCTTTCAGACTAGGGAAGGGTGTGGTCTTCTCTCGGGCACCTTTGGTGGGCAAAGTAAGGTTTGAAAGACTAAAACTTGTACTGTGGTTCCGATACAGGCTGCCTATCAAGGGGAGAGTGCAAGAATAAAGAACAGAATAAACACAAAGTGTTATATATACTCCAATGACTATGCCATCATCTTCACCTCCCTCCTTTTCTCTTTTCTCCTTTCTTAAATCTAGCATAAAATATAACATCTCCCTCCTCCTCAAACATAATCCAAATCTGGCAGATCAGACAATCTCTGACCTATCACAGAAAGGATCAAGTCTAGGGCAGCGCTTGTGGCTCAGTGAGTAGGGCGCTGACCCCATATACTGAGGGTGGCGGATTCGAACCCATCCCGGGCCAAACTATAACAAAAAATAGCCGGGCGTTATGGCAGGTGCCTGTAGTCCCAGCTACTCAGGAGGCTGAGGCAAGAGAATCACCTAAGCCTAAGAGCTGGAGGTTGCTGTGAGCTGTGA